AAAAAAAAAAAAAATGATTTCGACCATTTCGACCATTTCGGATATCCGAAATGATCCATTTCGACTTCATGTATAGTAAACACTCTTCTTGTGATAATGAAATTATTTGGAAATCTGCTAATTTTCTTAATTCATCTATATGATAGCAATCATGATAAACTAGTCTACTCCAACAATTAGCTATTAAAATTCTTTCAATTTCTACATCATCTGCAGCTGCAGAAAGAAATTTCTCCACTTTTGGTTTCATTCATAATAAAATTTGTAATAGATTACAAAATATACGTGTTAAAAAGTTAGTTTATATTTATGGGAATCTTCGGATTTCTAAAAAAAAAAATAATTTAGCATTAGTAATTAGTGATAATAGTGAAAATTAAGGAAATGATGATCCTGATGAAAGTATTCATGGGTTTGAATAAATTTAGATGAAGAATAATATTCAATAAAAAAATTTTTTTTTCGAAATTTTATAAAAAAACTATATCGATATATGTTAGTTAATTAACCAAATCATAAATAATCTTTATTTTACCATCCCTGGGTTTTACAAACTAAAACTAACCAAAAATTACATCCCTAGTTATTATGTATCTTCTTCCAGAATGTCTTAACGCGTTGAAATACCGTTGTAAGATAAGCTGTGTCAACATTCTCTATATAGTGTTTTATAAAGAAACTTATCATTCTCTGTGATGTCTCTCAACTAATTCTTCCTGATTATTTTAGCCTTTTGGGAGGAAACGGATCAACCTTCTCTCAAGAAATTTTTAGATTTTCGATTTTCAGCTGGCGACATAGAAGAAATGATTGTCGAGTATGCTCGATATAAAAACGAACTAAATACTATTAGCAGATATTACACTGAAGCATCAGAATTTGGTCAGCAAATATTAAAATGGAAAAATGCTTTTAAGGCGAGTTAATTTTATTATTTTATTGGATTTGGAGCATGAGTACATTAACTACCCTGCAAACTGTCATGTTTGCAGTGGGAAAGACTGTCACGTTTGTTGGTGAGTTTGCTCCACGAACCGTCTTGAGACTCAATTGATTCATTAGGTACACCAACTACCCTGCGATCTGTCATGATTGTAGTGGGAAAGACTGTCATGTTTGTTGATGAGTTATGCGTAATGGACTTTGGGAATCATGATGCTCGCGAAAGATGCGAGTTTGTTCGTGATGTCTCCAATTCTTTTTATATGTAATAAGAAAAAATTTCAAATGAATTTATTCGATGCAAATACTTAGAACTTGTTTTTATAGGATAGTAAACAATCATCAGTGATAAAAGGTTTTTGGAAACTTATAGTCGAAGGAAATAATATTGAGGCAAAGAAAAAGTTGCAAGAAGACAAAGCAAAGGCGAAAGTTCAGAAGTTACAGGTACTTTACTTATTTCTTTTTCCGATTTAACGTGATAAAACCAAAAAGTTTACTCTTATCCATTTCCCGTATACAGGCGACTCAGCACATTACAATTGCCTCGGTGACGACGGAACAGATCCAAAAATATGCCGCGTCAACCACCAACAGTATTACAAAGAGATTCATTAATGCTGATAATGAAGATACCGCAAAACGTATCCGAACTTTTAAGGTGATAACTGTTATTTGGTTTTATTATTATCGCGCTTTATCAAAATTTTAATTAATTAGTTATTGCAATATGAACAGGATAGCAAAGATGATAACAGTAACTAAGGCACTGAAGATAATTCTTCTTTGTCTTCATGTGAAAGTATTTCTCCTGTCTCTTTCAAAGTTCCCGAAAATAATAATTCTTTGGTATCGGATGAAAAATTCTCCAATTCTGAAAAGGATGCCATAGATCGATTTTTTTCTGGTTCATTTACGCAAGTTTCTCCAATAAACCCGTGTATCCTTAAATGCGGTGAAGAATTCAATGAAGTATGGAATAAATACTTGCTTAAAATTGATTTGCATTAATGGAGTGTAGAACATGATCTTATTGTAAAAACATTCCAGAATAAAGTACTTAAATCTTTATGTTCAAAAGAATGTTGGAAAGAAATTCAAGGTCTAAAATTACATCTTGTAGAAGAAAGCTTATTAGAAAGAATAAATCCCGTATTTAAAAAGGTCGAAAATGATAATCAAACTTTATATCAAAAATATGCACAAGCGTGGGCAAATATAGGTGATAACGACATTACCGAATTTGAACAATATTCTTTGATAGTAACCCATATATTTATCAGAGAATTCACATGTAAAAGAAATGTAATTGCATATCCTTTAACTACGGAATCAATGTGGAGTACTATCATGAGCTTTATCATTGGAAATGCAATACGTGGAAATATTGATTACACATGGGGAGAAATTGAGTTAAATACAACAGCAACCAGAAAAGATAATGGCCAGGATATTCTTTTACTTCCAAAACTTGCGACAGGACATAAGGGAGATGGGACAGGACTATCGAATGATGGGCGGGAGTGTTTTGTATTAGAAATTTCTTATGCACCACAAAATCAAGATAGGCGTAAGACAGCAGAAGATTTATATAAATTACTAAGGGAAATGCGAGACATGTTGCATATTTCTAAAAAAGAAAAACTGGAATCAGGTTATAAAATACCAAAATCGGGTCTATGTGTATATGGCCCACATTGTTACGGGTATACACAAGATTTATTTGAAATGGAGTACATTAGGCCCTTCTATTTTGTTAGGAAAATTGGATCACTAAATATTTCTAATAACGATATAACAAAACTTCCATTTGTTTTACGAATGAATTGGGCATTTAAGAAACGAATTATTTCTGCAAATGAAGTATGGAATAACTTGAAAAGTCAATATGAGAATGATTCAACCTTAGAATTATCTGATGATGAAGATGGTTTTACAAAAATGACACCAAAGAAACAATCAAAACGTTCTTAGTTTTTGAATTATTTTTTAGCATCTACAATCACTTGTCACTGTTTTGTAATATACCTGTTGTTACTAAAGTTTTGGGGACAATTATTTTCATTAATATGTTAAATCTCATGTGATTTTGAAGTCAGAAAAATAAACTAGCTATTAACCGTGATTAGAATAGCATTTTGTAATAAAAACATGAGATCGTAATTCTACATGGTATGCATAATTAATTATAATATATTATTCGGATTTTAAATACTTTATTGAATATGTAAAATTATTGTTAAACATGGAATCTGAACTAGGATTATTGAGGGAGGTAAAAATGTTTTTCTGAAGTAGTGTTTACTGAACAAGCTCTTGAACCTAGAACATTCAAAGATAAAGAGATTGATGATTAACAAACTACAAACTTGATTTTTTCTTAATGATAAAGTTAGACTTCGCTCTGAAATAGTCAATCTAGCATCCGAAAATATAAAGAACTGATGTATCTATATTATTTGGAATACGTAATGATGATAAAGTTTCGGACAATACGATATAGGTTAAGTAATAGTTATTTCGGCTGCGCCGTGAATTCATTGAAATAACTTTTTTATTCCCTGGAGACTAACGGAGACTAACGCCTAGGGATGGTAAAATAACGGTTATGGTTAATTAACCGGTTAATTAACCATTAATTAACATATATTTTTTTATAAAATTTCGAAAAAAAAATTTTTATTGAATATATTTATATTTATTCTTCATATAAATTTAATACATTATATTCAAACCCATGATTACTTTCATAACTTACATCATTATTTTCTTCATTTTCACTATTATTACTAATTACTAATGCTAAATTTTTTTTTTTTTGTAATTTTTAAAGGACCTTTAGAAATCCAAAGATTCCAATAAATATAAACTAATTTTTTAACACGTATATTTTGTAATCTATTACGAATTTTTATTATGAATGAAACCAAAAGTGGAAAATTTTCTTTCTGCGGCTGCAGATGATGTAGGAATTGAAAGAATTTTAATAGCTAATTGTTAAAGTAAACTAGTTTGATATGATTATTACATACTTGCATTAAACTGCTATCTACTTACTGTTAAATTACTACCTACTTATGAGTATACTGCTACCTATTTGTGTGTTTTCAATGCTCTGTGACCCTTTTATTATTAAGGAACTATCCTCATAGTTTTACTATTCTGTGACCTTTTTATTATCTTGTAACTATTCACATGTTTATTGCTCTGTCTTCTTTTTATTCCTTCTAATTAGTCGCATGTTTTCATTGCTCTGTGGTTTTTTATTATCAATTTGATATGTATGTGTTTGCATTGCTCTGTGTTCTTTTTATTGTTAAGAAATAATCCATTTGTTTACCTACTTTTAGGTTGTTTAGTGAGAATGCTTTCTTTTTGAGTCTATTTGGTAGCCTTTCAAGATACTAAGGTGATGTAAAAAAAGGCATCAGGTGGTACAATAAATTTATAATCCAATTTTGATTAATTTTGGCTGATTTTAGAGCATATAATTTGAGGATCCTACTTGGCGTCATACTAACATCATGGTAGCGTTATAGCAATATTATGAATGATAAATATTATTTTTGGAGTTGTAAGATCTTTCGTTCTCACATCTGATACTTCTGATAATAGATTGAAGTCTTGTGATATGTTAGATAACTCTTTAAAAAAATTTTAACATTATTTTCTTCTCTAGAATTTAGTTTTGCATCATCATTATCACCAAGATAAATAAGATGTTGATAATAAGAACATGACATATCTTTTTATAAGGAAATAATAATATATCTAAGATGAAAGCTATAAAAATAGAACAATCAGATGATTGGTTCTAAGTTAACTCTATTAGTTTCAAATAATAGATCAGGTTCTTTATATCAAGAACAGATAATAGAATTATCACATGTTTTAGATTCGACTTGAGAATTAATGCAATGACTTAATTTTTGTGATTAGTGATACTCTTATAATTAGACTCAAAAAAATCTTCTTCAATAGTCAATAAAGTCTATGAAGTGATGCTATTAGATCTTTCTGATTTCAGAAGTATTATTTTTTTGAAATGTTATTTACAGAAGAGTAGAATATAGGGTTTTTATACTTCTTGAACACATTTCAATCGTGATCACAAAATTATAATAACTGAAACTTACTAGAAAAAATACTCTCATTAATCATTAAATCCTAAGACTTTGGATAACAAAAGTCTTTATTATCAGCTAAAAATATGTAATGAGATTTTTTGTCTAGATTCAAGTGAAAATTTTAGCATCAGGCCTAAGATCTAAATTTCATGTGATCACTCATACAATATATAGTTCACTTGTATTATATATAGTTTATTTTGTATTACTTTATCTAATAAAGAAATTTATTGATTTTCAAAATATATGTCTATTAAAGGTATCTATTAATAATATTACATGTGCCTTTATATTCTATTATAAGTTATAAAAAAAATAGTTAGGTTTATTAGCAAATAATACTATTGATATTATTCATTATATATTAATAAAAAAACTGCCTAATTTTGCTCATCAGAATCTATTCCTTTGGAATCAGCATCAGCATAATTAATAGTAACATTGATAATATTGGCATTTTGAAAATAAAGGGATAGGTATAACAGGCTTAGAGATTGTAAGTGTTTTGTCAAATGAAGTTACAAGTCTTGATGGTGATTTCTTAGTAATTTTTAATGATCTTTATAAGAAGAAACTGAAGAGACTCTTGTAGTTAATGAAGAACCCATCTCACTTGACTTAGTATTTTACTATGTACGTTTTCGAATGAAAGATCTAGCAAAAAAAAATTGTATTAGTTTTAAAAGTACCATCCATTTATTTTTTTAAAAACATGCTTTAGTACCTTTAGCTAATTACCTGGTTTTTGCTATAACTTCGTTGAGAATTCATTATAAATCTTCTTTCTAATTAAGCTCCTTTTATTTCTAATACCTTTCTTATATATTTTTCTATTTAAAAAGAATAAGTTTATTGAATAACTTAGAACTCTGAATCAGATCAGGTCAACCTGTGACTCGATCTGATCCGACTTGAATAATCCAGGTCAGGTAGACAAATATTCAGGTACACATCAGGTCAACCAATCAAATTAAATAAAATAAAATATTTAAAAAAAATTTTTTTTTGTCTATTTTTTTTTAAAACATCTTTAATTGGAATTTTACAAAAATAACAAAAAATGCCAATAACTAGACAAACGAAAAATAGAAACGCTAATAAAAACTCTCAAACTTTTTCAAACAATAAAAGAAACAATAACAACACAAACGACAACACTTCTTCTAACTCCAGCCAACAAACCTTACTTACTGAACAGACTGAACAACCCAAAAAAATTAAACTCTCTTCCGATAATTTTTCCCAAATATAGAAACTCCTCTAGAACAAACTATTAACAATATTATTACTGGAAACGACTTCATTCCACCTTCTAACGACTCAGCAGTTGAACATACTACTCCAGAAATTATGGATATTGACTCAACTTCTATAGACTTAAACGATAAAGAAACGTATTCTTCTCCTGCTAAAGATACGACTCATGACTCTATGCACGCTTCTAGCTCCA